AAAAAAAAATAGCTTGTGAGAAGGTGAGTGTATGTGAGAGGGTGAGTGTATGTGAGGAGAGGAAGGGGTGAAAAAGTGAGTATAAAGGGTATTATGGTCATTTATCATTTTAAGACTTTAAGACTTTTGTTAAATTTGCTTAATAAGATAGTATAGATTTCTTTAATTCAAATTTTTAAGTTTACTAGCGAAGTAATTTATTTTTGGCTTAACAATATAATTTTTTAAAGATAATGATTATGTTAGAACTCAATGATTATCCTAATTATATTTTAGATTTTTTATACTTAAAATGAGATGTTCATCCTATATTTGATTATGTTTATCAGCAGTTAGTTATATTTGATAAGTTGTACTTACGCACAATTTACTTGTAATCTTAAATTTTAAGTAATATGCATTAATACATTCTCCATGCATAAAAAATGACTTTTAAGAGTTTTTTTTGTCAAATGCTTTATAATATAGTATAGATTATTATGATGTTCTATTTCAAAATTGTCCAAGAAACTTGTGAGAGCGTCTAAAACCATCTTATAAACTTATGGTAGCACCTTTACATAGCGCAACTGTTTGGTCCAAGAAAATCGAAGTCCTACAAAGCAGTCTATTAGAACACTTATAAGATTGTTTACTTACAACTTAATAAGCTTAATGATCTGAGCGACTTATTCARTCAGCCATGGGGGGTGTTCCTTTACGGCTTATTCGATATGCCATTAAACCAAAACGGATATATTGAATAAGCCAGAACCACTAATTTGTTCCGTTAAGCCAGTTCAAACAAATTAAAACCAAAAATGCCCCTGAAATAATCCAACCCTCTCTCTTTACGTCCGCAAACCTATTGATCTCCCATCCCTCAGACAAACAAACTTATCAAGACARACAAATTAACTCATACAAAACTTAATGGAAAAAAAATTAACATCCCCTAACCCTTGTATGGATCTGGAAAGTTTCTGTTTGAGAGGGTTTCTTTAGAGATAAGAGAAGCGTGTTTTTTAATTAGGAGGGGCAAGTTTGCAAAAAACTTGACTTTATGCATAAAGCTCTCCCCTAGAAGCTCACCGAATAAGTCACTTTCTATATCATTAAGCCACTACCAAACAGTCATGTATAGCTAACCRAATAAGCTGCAAGTTCCATTAAGTTCATTAAGCTGCTATAAAACCGTTGTACTGTTGGTTTAGTAAATACCTCGATTATCTCCGTTGGTGGAAGGATGGTGAAAACCTTAAAAAGCACAAACTGGGCAATGTGGCATAGCTTCGGCTTCGTGTTCCATTCTCTAATGTACTCCAACAATTGGCGGAACTCTTCGGTGCCAAGAACACCAAGAGCTTGTTTTACCTGATCATTGGCATCTTTCCTCCTGCAGGACATTTCAGTTTCAGATAATTGGTATCATATGCAAATGAGATTAAATTGGAGTGTTTTAACCTGCAAAGTTCGGCAAATAACTCAAACAGCTTATGTGGTCTACGGAGCTCAAAC